CAAGAGAGAAAAACTAAGATGATTCATACAGTCTTTTCCTTGTGACTGGAAAATGAGCTAATGAAGTATAAATACTGGGGGAAACTGTTATCTTGCATATCTAGGAAAGTGGTTTTTATGGTATTATAAAACTGTTAGAGGCAGGAAAATTCAGCTAAGCTCCCCTCCCAGAGAGGACAGCATTACGTTTCCACGTCTAATTCTTGCAAAGTTTTATCTGGTCCTATCTATAGATTTCCCAGAATCAGGCTTCCCATAATTTCCCCAGAAAACTATTTTGCAATCTCACAAACATTAATTTTAAAGACACTTTTCACGGTAAACACTTTCAGCTTTGCCTAATTTCCCACTGCTATTTATTTCTTGAAATCCTTCCTAAATAACACTACTACTTTGCAATCTTTGTATAAATAATTCACTAACCAGAGCAAAATGGTAAAAGCACGAGTGCCATACAAATAAATATGTTATTCCCCCCCTAGAAGTCTTCATACAATTGACGGTTTCTTTCTTGATACTATCAACCACGTATGACTTGGAAAACTGATTAAAAAAAATCTGTTCACCAACATTTAATATCTATTAAGGGAAGGGAATAGTGAGAATGTGTTGGATGACCTATGGGGCACGTCTCAAGTCTTCTAATTAATGCCAGTTCACAGCAGTCCAAACAAGATAGTACCATGATGTATAGGTCCTGTGGCTCTCCAAAGATCAAGACGTGGCATTTAATCAGATCAAGATTTAAAATAAATCTCCAGCAGCCTGTTTCCAAGTTATGACAAGAGAAATACTTGGCTAGAGAGGTATAGGCTGTATGAAATGATTGGCAACTTATCAAGACAAGAAGAGAAAGAAGCTGGATGATTGGCAACTTAATCAGAGGGAGAAGGAAAAATAGAGAAAAGGAACAAAACGAGTGCCTAAACAGCTACGAGTTGGCTCCTGCGGTTGTCAAAGGTGGCCTTGAGCAGGCAGTGGCAGGAGGGCTTACACTGAAGCTTGTCTGCAAAGTAGATGAAACTATTCAGTGTTCCTTGGCATCAATAGCATGCGGATCCTGAATGTATCTAATCACGTTTGGAGTAGCATGATTCTGTACGGCGTTCTCCGTAGGTCACCATGGCAGCCACGGGAACACGTCCAACAAAATATCACGGATGTGCAGCTTAACGGTGCTTTGCTACCAAAAAATTCATAGAGCTTTAGAACAAAGTCCCCGGTCTTATCTGAAAGCTAAAAAAACCCCAACTCAAAATAAAATAAATAAATAAATCCAAGGGGTCCTTGTACAGTATTTCATCTTCAGCCTCTGCTCCTTCTCTGACAAAAGGTTCTTTCTTTTAATCAGCGTTCATTTCGCAGGAAGACTGACCTGAACAATCATAATGTTTTGCTAGCAGTATCCTTTAGATAATGTTACAGCGTGCCCTCGTCTTTTATTCAACATGTTATTATTGCTTAAAATATCTAGTTTAAGGAAAAACCGTGCAAACTTTTCCTGAAGGAGAACTAAGGAATGGTGGGTTAGGGGTTAGACTGTCAAACCACCAGTTCTTACTGGGAACAAGCATCGCTTGGTCTTTTCACCAAACCCCCCTAACTCATAGGTGACTTGTATTTGTCCACAGCGTGCAGCGCGTCAACAGAGAAACTGCAAAATGATGTCCTAAAAATGTGAATTTTCTTTTCCCTTGAGATGGGGGATAGGGGAATAAGGATGCGCTTGGAGAGAAGTCCTGGTAAGATTGGGTTCCATATCTCATACCGTATTTTGGCTCCTGCTAAGCCTTGTTAGGGCAAATCTAAAGATATTTCCAAGCAATTTGAAATCCACTATCAGCATTACTCACTCTTGCATTTTGCATGCAAGAAAGATAAACCTTAATGTATAGCAAAATTATTTCTGGAACTGCATCTTGCACGTTTTCACTATAATGCATATCATAAGCTTTGACACAGAGATAACGAAGCGATTACTTGTCAACCTCCTCTCATTCCATCAGTCTTAAAAGATAGGATAAAAAAAGCTTTTCATGTGCAACAGCAGGCTTCAGATTAGTCCTGCGGAGTTACCAAAAATGTGGAACTAAATATCAGACAAGCCCAATTTAAAATGATGAAACACTTCTGAATTCTAAAACAATTAGGCTGATTTACAACACACGGCCTGATACAATATAGGTTTGAATCTTTTTTTTTTTTTTAAAAGGAGACACATTTTTTCATGCTAGTCATAAATTAGTACAATTAAGATTTATTTCCTGTTTTTCTGAATACTCAAGAGCAACTCTTACACCTCCCAAAGATGTCTGTGGAAGACGCATATTTTCCCTGGGAAGATATACAAAGAAGTGAGTTACAGACCTAGGAAAGGCAAACCACGATTACAGCTGAAGAACAGCATCATCTTTTTCTGTGGCTTTTCAGTGACGCTGTGCTGAGATTTAGTCAGTTTTCACTGCTAGGTCCCTCATTTCTGCTTGCAAATCAAGGATTCCAGGGTCCTATGAAGATGAATCAGATGAGGCTTGCAGTTTTCTCCTCTACTCTTCGTGATGGTTGCTCCCAGAAAACAAACACATGCATCTTGAATACTTCTCATCCCACCGGGGGTGAGATTTAAACAAACACTGACATTGGCAATGCAACTCCGCTTGATGGTACTAAAAAGTCATTATCTGTGTTCCAATATCCATTTGATTATTACCTGTGTTTTAAGACAAACAGGAGACTGGAGAAACTCTTCTTTCATTTACCACAAGACCATGCTAGTGATAGCAGCAACATTGCTCAAAACCTACTTCGAAGAATATTTTGGCTCCTTTATGACAGAACACTGGAATTTACAAGATAAAAGGTAAACCAATAGATACAGGGCATTCACAACACTTTTTTAAGGCTTTCACTTCTGCAACACATGGACAATAGATTTTAAACGAAAGTTCTGTTGCTCTGTACTTAAGGGTATTAATATTTTAGTATGACTGCATCTGTGAATGAAGACATTCAAAAAGCCATTATGTTTTCAACTTAGGTTAATAATAAGGCTATTTTTCCACCCACTCTCTGGCACAGCTGTAATGTTCTTGGCCTCAAGTGGGAGGCAATGTGGAACAAGGATTAGCAAGATGGATGATATACAACATACAGTGCCAGTTCATATAAAATATTACTAGATTGGAAATGACTGTTTACTGTCTCAGTAATTACATGACCATTTTTTTTCCTTCCAAAGAACATACAGTATGTGGTGCTGCTCTATGCCAATAAAGCTTAGTGCATAGCACCTGGGTAATGACAAATTAATTTTTGAGCTAAGCCTGATGAGCGGGTCAGCCAAAATCTTAGGCAGAGTTTATCCGCAGTACTATTTTACATGACAGAAAAATACATCCTTCACATTCACCCGTATTAGCACAGAGCAGGGATTATACAACAGAAAATAAATAAAGTGGGGGGACCAAAATACCAAAAAAATATGTTAGGGAATTGTGTGTGTTTACAGCACAGTAATAAAACATTTAATCTTGGAGGAGGGGGAGAGTTGGAAGCGGCATCCCATGGTCCACTTCCAAATGAAATTGGACAAAACATTTAGGAATGCACTAAACGGAACAAGCGTGGATTTGGCAGACAACAAGCTGGATGAACTAGCAGGTCTCTTCCTGGTTAAGTCAGATTTCCAAACCTGAGACCTTTGCATCCTGGAAGAAGAGATCTCTTGCCCGATCTAGAGACCCATGTCTCTTGACCAAGGCTGTAGCGGCTCAGCCGTGAGCAGCCAGAGACACTGAGCCCTGGCTCCTGGCACGTTGAGGTACCATCGTACTTCAAACCCAGAAAACCACGTGGGTCCACGTTTTCTATCCTGTCCAGGCAGAACATTTCTTTTACCACAAAGTCAACACAAATTGTTTAAATTCCGAGCGCTCAGCAGTTCCCATCGCTTGGACTAGTGGCCACAGCCACTGCCAGAATATCAGCAATACTTCAGAGCTGAAAAATGTTTTCCTTAGTAATTTTAGTGAGAGAGCACTTTCACATGAAAGAGAAACAGAAGTGTTTCGAAATGGCAAAATCGTTTCTCGTCCCTAAGCAGAGCTCCTCTGAAAGAGCCGTTTGCACAATCCAGACACCTCCATTTTCATGTGAATAGTTTATTGATTTAAGAAAACACACAGACAGGCTTATATCATTATTGTACCAGCTGTAGATAATCTATATTCACTGAACTATCTATTCCCACAAAAACATTTTCATTGAAATTAATGTTCACTCCTCCTTCCCCCACAAGCTAACATCTAGGAACTCTGAAATGCACATTAGCTACATCAATAAATAAAACAAGCAGTTCTTGGTTTTCTTAACCACACGGGGCACAAGTGGATGATCTCTTTACATGCCCTGGACCACGAAAAAGACATTAAGTACTGGAATTTTTCCTGTTTTGAGTAGCCCAGTGAGAGGAAGCCAAGTTTGCAGGCTCGCTCTCGTTGTTATTTCCAGAGCGTCAGAGTTTCCATGAGCCGTGCCTCCCAGAGTCAGGTCAGCAAAGCCTCAGCCCTGCACACCCCAGCCTTTTTTTTTTTTTTTTCAGGGCATTGTTCCAATACTGTGAGCAACTACCCAAAGTTTGAAAGTCTGCTCCTTTGACATGCTCAATTTGGCAAGTGTAGGAGAACTGCTGTTAGATGAGAAGAAAAAAAAGAAGGGAAAAAGAAAAAAAGGGAGATGTAGGCACATTCCTTTCTCCTACTCACTCTCTAATGATGTTTGCGCTATTTTCTTTTAAATCTTATTTAAAACTTCAGCCCGTTACAGTAAGATCAGCAAGAACAGATCTTTGCTTCAATAAAGAAAGATGCACAAAGCCCTTTTTGTTGAGGACACGGGTCCAAAACTCTGGCGTCTGGGCTGCGCAGCTTTCGCTGCAGGCACGCTTTCAATCCTTCTCGTTCCTCTGCGCCATCAGGGTTTCAGGACAAAGATCATTTTACCAATCTGTTTGTACAGCATATCGTACAATCTGTTACGTGCATCTGCAATACGAACAGCAAATGATAATAAGAGCATGTGGACGAGACTGGAGCCCCAGATTTTGGGTCCCTTTGTTATCTGCGGCGCACGGATCCTGATCCACAGCGGAGGCAGCCGCTCTCCTGCCTTGCTGCGTGCACCGCAACTCCCCATGGGCGCTCTCCTTCCAATCCAAATACTGGATATGCCCGACAAAAAACCCCAAAGGTTCCCCCCCCAACCCCCCTTTCCTCCTATTTCAAGGGAGTCATTCCAAAGTGAAAACCCTGACACACCAATGCGACTGAGACACCAAATTACCTTTTGTCATATCCTCCTTCAACGCAAAACAAAGCCATGAAACTTCGGGAGAACGAGGAATAGTTCATGCCAGATGCTACCTAATGGATCATAAATGCTACATACGAATGTATGAAAAAAGCTCCCTATTCTCTCTTCTAAACAGATTGTTCCCCCAAATCACATCTGACCGCAATGGTAATAATGTTTCTCATCCTTACTAAATATTTATCTCTTTCTTTTTTAAGATAGCAAGCACTTCTGACATTCACTGCACAGAACATCATTGCGCTCTCACTCCTTGCAGCACAGATTGCTAGGCGGCTGCTTTACATGCTGATTTCTCTTTTGTGAACTGAGACCTTGAATATTTTCACGGGAGAAAGCAGATCAATGATTTTTTAAGAGAGCATTACAGTTTTCGTGTAATGAACATCAGTTGATGTGGGCAATTACTCTTTCTTTTTCCCCCCAAAAAAACCAAAACCACAAAAACAAAGAGGAGATTGTAGCTCCTTTGAATGGCATGTGCTGTACTGATTGTACCGGAATGTCAACTGCATGCAAAAACACGAGTGGGTGAAGTTCAGGGCTGACATATGGATCATTAAAATGTACGATGCGGAGGTGAATTAAAACTTTTGTCATTTGATTCGGCCAACGATAAAGAAAGTTGCTGTAGAAACTATTCCACTGTTTCCCAATTTCCATAAAAGAGTGGTTCGAACCCTTTTTTTATTGTTTTGTTTTTGTTGCTGAATGAATGGAGAATAAAAGCATTTTTTGCCAGATTTCATGTATTCGCTTTTTAAAGAATGCATATGAAAGGAAAATAAAATAATTTCAAACATAAAGGAGATGCGTACTTCAATGGTATTTTTGACATTCAGAAATATTCTGCAAAAACATCCGATATATCACATTTTCTCCTTAATAGTTAAAACATAAGAGCAGACTGGGAAAACTGGATATCTTTATCACTGGCTTGAAGCGTGTCTCAGGCTGTGTCACTGTGTTTCCACGCGTCTGAGTTCCCCATTTATAAAATGTGAATATGTTAACATAGCTTATTTGCATTTCTGCTTTTATGTAGGAAGTCACACCAACTACCTTCCCGGATCTCACTGTGGCATCTCCGTCTAACGTGAGAGTGAGACTCCTGCATTAATAACAGCATTACAAACACCACCAGGATTCTTCCATGAAATCCCTCTGCCACCACGATCGGTCACTGTTCCTCTTAGCGGAGGGCTCCGAAGCCCCAGCTCGGGCCACCCCCACACCCCTCCTGTTGTACACCCCGACTTGCGCTCGGGCTGCTCGTCCTCGTCGCCGGTGCAGCCGTTACCCGCAACAGCTATGCTCAAACTGGGAAAGACGCTTCTGCCAAAATCACACCTTCATTAGACATTTGGAAAACCATCTGTTAGATGAATCTCCATAAAGAGCCGCCTTAAAGGGCTCGGTGATTACGCGTTATGTCCACACACCGATACCTGTTTCTAGCCTATTCCTATTCAGCGAAGCAGTGAAGAACATGCTTCAACTTTAATCACTTGCTGAAGTCATCACGACTGTGTGCTTAGTTGAACAGGGGTCTTTATGAGCCAAATATTATTCTTAGTAATAAGGAGACCTGGCAATACACTAGATGGAGCATTTGATAGTAAGTAACATTAATTCAATTAAATCCTCTTACAGCATACGCTCTCCAGTTAATGTAGTTTACAGTGAAATTTTCTCCGGCACTCATTTAAATATAATTGCTGCACTTATCTTGTCATGAGGAAATTTCTGAAGGTTACTTGTACTGTGCACGTGTAAACCTACAAGCTACGCTGACCTTTAGTTGTGAGATTTTTTTGAACTACTTAAACTGCAGCATCTAAATAATGATGATGACAATAATAATAATAATAA